GATCACAATGTTAATTATTATTATTATTATACAGGATTTATATAGCGCCAACAGTTTGCTCAGCGCTTTACAATATAACGGGAGACAATACAGCAACAATACAGAGGGATAGGAGGGCCCTGCTTACAGAGCTTACAATACAGTTGTGGGTTATTTAATGCACTTTCTTCACAGCAGTTGTCACAGCGTGAGGAGAGACGATAATCGTCAACTGTATACACATCAGGACATTATGTGTAGCTCCAACAATGTCCATCAGTGCAGTCCCAGAAGTGTCAGTCAGTGCAGTCCCAACAGTGTCCATCAGTGCTGCCAGTCAGTGCCCATCAGTGCCGCCTAGTAGTGCCCATCAGTGCCACATATCAGTGCAGCATCATTAGTGCGTCCTCGTCAGTGTCCATCAGTGCTGCCTATCAGTGCAGCCTCATCAGTGACACCTCATCAGTACCCATCAGTGCAGCCTATCAGTGCCCGTCAGTGCTGAATATCAGTGCCCATCAGTGCAGCCTCATCAGCGCACAACAGTGAAGGAGAAAAATTACCTGTTTGCAAAATTGTATAACAGAAACATTTATTTTTTCAAAATTTTTGTTCTTTTTCCGTTTGTTTAGCAAAAACTAAAAAATCCAGTGGTGATTAAATACCACCATAAAAAGCTCTATATGTCTCAAAAAAAATGATATATATTAATTTAATGTGCGACAGCACTGAAAGCTGAAAATTGGCCTGGGCAGGAAGGAGGTGAAAGTGCCCTCTAGGCAAGTGGTTAAATGTTAAATGTAGAATGTTCCATTTTCACAAAGTGCACACCAACATAATGCATGAACTGAGCCTAATGCAGCCCAATTCACATGATGTGACGGGGCGGCCCTGAATACCTCTTGCAACGTACACTTTATAAAGGATCTGCTTCCACCAACTGGTAGAGTTTTCAACCGGAAAACAAAACCTCTGTCCCACTGAAGGAAAAAGCAAGTTTTTAAAAAATGCACTCCTGTGTTAGGGAAGTTTCTTTGCGGTGTGTCAATGCGTGTTAGGTTCAGTGTTAATGTGCAATGTATTAGGGCAGCACATTGAGATCAATAAGGCTGCAAGAAAACCCACCAATGGTCCTGAAAATTGGACATGCCATAAAATGTGTAATGCAACACACTATGGTGCATTGCAGAGATTTGCAATATATGTAAGTTGCGTTATTATGATTATTATTATACAGGATTTATATAGCACCAACAGTTTGCACAGCGTTTTACAATAAAAAGGAGGACAGTACCAGTACAATATAGTTAATTACAGAAGGAATAGGAGGACACTATTGCATTTGGGTGCCAAAATAAATAGCATTGCATTACAACACAGCAATGTGTGTAACGTGCATCGTAGCAATGCATACATTTAAATTACCCTACAAATATTGAACAATTAGATAAAAGGGAAAAAAATCTAATTTCTCCACCACTAAAAAATTTCAATTGGTGCTTTCAATTTCAAAATAAATGCTTTCTGCTCTGTTCCTGTCTTATCTTTGACATTGTGACCTTATTTCAAGTGGCAATGTCAGAATGTTCACTTAACAGACTTCAAAGAATCACTATTGTGAAAATATATTTTATTCTGATAAACGTATGTGGCTAATACATGGAATGATAATATTCAGCATTCAAATTCTTTTTATCTTATATACTATCTTGTATATTTTTTCCACATGCAGACTAAATCATCCAGCAAATATAACAATGCTATGGTACAATAACAATTATTTATTTATTTGTTAAAGAGCAAAAAACTGTCCTTTAAAAAATGAAAGGCTGAAGGGACAATGTCAATATTCCAGCACTGCAATGAATGCAATAAGATATGAACAAGCACGATCAGGGCAGAAAAAATACTGTAGACCACAAGAGTTGCATAGCAGACGAGAGTAAAAAAAAAATGTTTTAAATATAATAATAGTAGAAAAACAAAGTCAGAGCACTGGCCCCCAAAAAAGGATTATCAGGCAGTTGATTACACAAGGCAAGGAGAACACAACTGTATTAAATACATTCTTCTCCTCATTTTTCACTCTGGAAAAGGAGGGATGACTTCAGGTTCCTGCACCGTATGGAGCAGAGGTGAGCTGTCCCTGCTCCCGCTGCCCTCCTCCTCCGCTGCGGTCCCACATCTGCTACAATTCGGGCAGATTTGGGGCAACATATGGACCGCCTAGTGGAGTGGCCGCACTCTCACTCCTCTTCTGTCCACCGCCTGTCACAGGGGGACACAGCGGCCACTGCAGCCAAGACGGCCGCCGCTGCAAGTACTCACACTGACACAGGGGATCAGGAGAGCCCACAGCAGCCACAGCCTCCTACTGCTCAGTCTCTGAATCCTGCCTCACCAGCGAGCATTGCCCATGCAGTTGTAAGCCGTGTACCGGGTGGGCTCCCCAGGATACAGTGAAGTCACAAACGAGGAAAGCAACCCCAGCACCAGCTTTTGCCACAACAGAATTTTACTTAGATGTGGCAAATAAACACAACCACAAATGCTGGAAACATACAATAAATTTACATACACCCAGCCCAAAGGCTGAGACCCTTGTGCTGTACAACACGGCGCCTTCTGATGGATGAAGGTAGAAAGTGAAGTAATTTACCTACTGGCTGGCACAACTAAGCTGCCATACCTTACCTGTTATTACTCTAAAAGAGCAATAATCAGTGTATGGGTGTATGGTATGGGCTAGCCTGCGGTGCAGCACAACAGCTTACAATATTACACAAATCTACAGTATTCCCTCTCCCATAACTGGTCCTGTAGCTTGTGCCTGATTATTCCTACTGAGCAAAATGCCAGTCTGGCTTGAGTTTGTAGGATTTTATCAGCTCTCCAATGTGAAATGTCACATTAAGTTGTGGAGTCCTTCCAAGGATCAATAACAACACTTTGGCCTGACACAAACAGAGACCCTAACAAACTAACTATAGGCCTGGACTCAGTATCAAGGCGCCAACACTGCAATGAGGTGCGTGCACGATCTTACCGACCCAGGTCTGCTTTGCATACGCTGGTGACTCTGAACAGAATAAATGTCTCTCCAACAAGCATGCGGTCTCGCCTTATATGTTGCTTAGTTCCTCTGCTCTCATCAGCCTTCCTGGCAGCAATTTCATCAGCTTCACTTAGCTGCAGCTCTGGTTATGGAGGGACTCTTTCACACCTGGATGTCATCAGATTCTCAGCTCACAGGGCCCCTTATTCACCATGCTCCAAAACATGGCATCTCTCTCTCCTTCCTGTTCTCTCCAACTCTGTGTGCAAAAAACCGCACCTCTTCATGAATATACAAATATCTATGCAGTCTGAGGCTGTGTTAGAAAAACAGTGACATCTTGTGGCTAAACCGCAGAATGTCAGTCAAAACATTAATTTACTTCCACACAAACAGTGTTCAAACAATGAGAGCTGTTTCCCCATCTCACACAGTCATGGCGCTCCTAACGCCTACTGTCATGACAGCGGTCGACAGTGCTGTTCTTAAATGGCTAACACAGCAAAATAAAGATCTCAGCGCACAGGATTAGCGCATTACGGAGATGTAATATAGGATCTCCTCCACTGAAGATGGCTCATTGGCTGTTTCTGCTGCAGTAGCCCGACTCACCACTGTCCAAAGAGATCTTCAGGATAAGGTAGATGATCTAGAAAACCACTCAAGGCGGAACAATCTGCGCATCAAAGGCCTTCCTGAGATGTATTCTCCCTCCATGCTGATCAACATATGTGCTACGTCCATTCCGGAGCACCTAGGCCTGTGACACCCCTGTGCGGTTGAAAGAGCCCATCGTATTGGCTTGCCGTCCGATTTTCACACTAAACCCAGGCGGTGATTGTACGCTATCTGAACTATGCTGACAAACAGGCCATCCTTCAGAAATTCCAGCGCACACATGCTTTATCTGTAGACGGGCACCACTTGCTCTTGTTTGCGGACTGCTTGATGGAGTTTATGCGAAAACATAAGGCCTTCTTTGCGATTTGCTCCACTCTCTATCACAGACAGTTTAAATTCACCCTGGCTTATCCCGCTGTTCTTCATATCCAGTCATCGGATGGAGAAAGGCGATCCTTCACCTTGCCATTGGAAGCAGAGCAATACCGCAACAATATATCTTGAAGCAGCCATGGATCAAAGTCCTTCTTCTGCACCGTCTTCCTCCTCCCCCCAAGGGGAAATTCCATGCCCTTCCAAAATCAACCGACTCCCCAAAAGCCACCGTATAAAAGGGAGCACTTTGGTCTGGCCAAAGATCGCTACGTTACCCGCTGACTTGTTTCATCGGATGATATGTAATGGTTTTCCTTGTTTTTTTGTGCCTTCTCAGCAACTGTTGTAATTTGTCCTATAATGGCTAACGTTTGGTTCTTGTCTGTCTTGTTTCATGCCTCCTCTGTGGCGATCCACCCTGAACACCTATCCCCTTGGATGGGCAAAGAGGGTCCTCAGGTTTTTTTCCCCCTTTCGCCATTCCTCCTCTCTCCTCTACCCCCACTTCCCTCTCCTTCCCCTCCCTACCCCCCCAAAAGCATTGGGGTAGGAGTATAACAATAGTATATATAAATGGAGCACCACAGTGTCCATATGTAGACAAGCCCCTGGGCCCATTAACCGCCTCATATGACATCCTCCAATTCTAACCCGCGCATGCGCGGCTCCTGGAGCGTGCAGTGCAGCGATCGGCTGTGCGCTGTGTCCCTCGGACACAGCGGATCACCGATCCACAGAAAGAGCCAAAGATGTTGGCTCAGTCATGTTATCAGCTGTGCCCAATCACAGCTGATCACATGTAAACAGGGAAATACCGGTTATTGGCATTTCTCTCCCCACGAGCTGTCGCGCTGACAGCTCGAGAGAAGAGGAGAGCCGGTAATCGCCATTCCTCGGAGGGGACATGTACACAGATTATCAGAGCACTGATGATCCATGTGCCCTAATGATCTGTGTAGCCCCAGCAGTGCCACCTGTCAGTGTCCATCAGTGCCAGCTCTCAGTGCTCATCCATGCCACCTGCCAGTGCCCATTAGTGCCATATCAGTGCCACATTTCAGTGCCCATCAGTGCCACATCACGGCCACATATCAGTGCCAATCTCAGCTGCCTTTCAGTGTCACCCATCAGTGCCAGTCAGTGCACCTATCAATGCCAGTCAGTGCTACCTATCAGTGCTGCCAATCAGTGCCACCTATCAGTGCCAGACCATCCTGCCTATCAGTGTGCATCAGTGCTGCCTATCAGTTCCCGTCAGTGCTGCCTATCAGTGCCGCCTAACAGTGCCAGTCAGTGCCACCTAACAGTGCCAGTCAGTGCCAGTCGGTGCCACCTATCAGTGCCATATATGAGTGCTGCCTTTCAGTGCCCATCAGTGATGCCTGTCAATGCCCATCAGTGCCACCTACCAGTGCCTCCTCATCTGTGTCACCTATCAGTGTCCATCAGTGCAGCTTATCAGTGCCCATCAGTGCAGCCTCATTAGCGCACATCAGTGAAGGAGAAAAATCACTTATTTACAAAATTTTATAACAAAAACTAAGAAAAAAAAATTTTTTTTTTCAAAATTTTCAGTGGTTTTTGGTTTGTTTAAGAAACAATAAAAAACCCAGAGGTGATTAAATACCACCAAAATAAAGCTCTATCTGTCACAAAAAAATGATAAAAATTTCATATGGGTACAGTGTTGCATGACCGTGCAATTGTCATTCAAAGTGCAACAGCACTGAAAGCTGGAAACTGGCCTGGGCAGGAAGAGGGTATAAGTGCCCTGTAGGCTAGTGGTTAAATAGAAGCGAAGTCATCAGTTGTCAAGTATATTCCCTATATAATAGATGGCATGGGAGTCAAAATAAGGGCAGGTCTAATTATTCAGATAGTGTCCTATATGTAGGTTTAACGGCTCATTGATGTAGCAGTGGGATGGCTTGAAGTGAGAGCTAATGGTAAAGTCACAAGATCTTTCAAATCCTATAGCATAGGTATAGACAGCTCAACTACATTGATACTGTCATTTATAATGAAATAGTTCAGCAGTCACTAGATTGGGCCGCTTGCCTGTTTTATCAACATGGGTTTTCCAGAGTACAGTGATAGATCATCAGCGGTGTGTTACACAGTGAGTACAAGACCTCCTCCTGAATGTCCATCCAAATGTAAGACCAAGATCATACAGTACAGCTGCCAGATAAGCAGATTCACTGATCAACACAAAAATCACCTGGAGCGACTCCAGGTCAGGAGACAAGTGATTCCTTGTAAATTAGTATAAGGAATCTTGGCTGCTGATGGTAAAGTTCAGTGTAGTAAAGAGGCACAGTCTTACCACTCCGCTGCCATACTATGGAAGTCTTTACTGGTCAAGGTGCAGTTCAATACAGTAAGAGTAAAGGTTCTGTCACTTCACCGCCATCCAAACGACAATGTTGTCTATATAAAAGTGGAAAGTAGTATAGCCATAGGGTGTTCAGCTGTTAAGGATCACTTTTCCTCTGTCCTCAGTAGATTCTGGTCACCATCTACCTTGCAATACGTCCATGGGGGCTTGAAGAGGGGACATCATCAGCGCCTCATGACGTCAACGCATTTCGCTTATGCACAAGTGTAGCATATTGTGCATATTGTGCTCTCCCTCAATCGCACGCACGAGAATAGGCTGAATTGGCAATCTGCCAAACGAGGCTTTGATTTTTGGGCTGAACACCAGGAAGCAGCCAAATCAACCTTTTGCACCTTAAAATTTTATAGATATAGCAATAAGGTGGGAAAGCTGTTGGCATTGTTTAGTGCGGGCCCTTATACCCCCACTCAGATTTCTGCACTCCGGTCTAATGTTTTAACACTGTCATCTGATATTAATGACCTTCTCATATCCTATTACATTTCCTTGTATTCAGAGGACTCGATTGACTCTAGAGCTGCTGAGGACTTTCTAGCCTGCTTTCTGGATCCCAGCTAAGTGCCTTAACACACAACATGACATTTATGCCACTATCAAACACCTTCCCTCGGCTACAGCTCCTGGATCTGACGGTCTTAGTGTGGAATTATATAAATTGACTTCGGAATTCATCCCAGACACTCTGTATCATGGCTATAAGGCAATATGGGAGGATGGCCCATATCTCCCGACTGGCTCCCAGGAGCATATTAAACTCAAAGCTAAGAAAGGGAAAGACCCACTGCTCCCAGGATCGTACCAACCTATCTCTTTAATCAATGTAGACACTAAAATACTTTCTAAAATTGTGGCATCCAGGTTGGCCCTACTGCTTCCCGAAATACTACATTCGGCCCAACCCGGCTCCATGCTGGGTCGCTCGGCAAAGCTCATCATTTGCAAAGTACTATTGGCCCTTGAACATGCTAAAACAAACCCACAGATGGATCTAGCACTTATATCTTTGAAAAAGCCTTCAACAGCATAAGCTTTGCCTGGCTCTTTATGGTTATGAGAAGGCTTGATTTTTTGGGCCCCATTTTGGACTTTTTGTGACACGTGTACTCCTCGCCTACAGCTAGATTAGTCACACCTGACTTTATTTCCCCAAGCATTCCCTTGACCAAAGGCACCAGGCAGGGTTGTCCGCTCTCCCCCCTCCTCTTTAACATCACCCTTGAACCTTTGTCCAGACTGCTCAATTCGATGTTGGGGGTTAGTGGTGTCGCTATATTCTCTTTGCAGATGATATATGATTGTTCTCTTCAGATCCACCCAAAGACTTCCTACTACTTCAGGACCTGTTTGCAACCTTCCGTAAATGCTCCGGCCTAAGAATTAATTTTGATAAGAGTGAAGTACTCCCTTTGAATGCTACTACATCAACCCATTGGATTCCTTCCTCTCCCTTTGGTATAGCTACTCAATCCATTACGTATTTGGGCATCTGCATAGGCAGAGAACGACTGTCTCTTTATTACCTAAATTACTATCCTTTAATCAACAAGATTGTACAGGAACTGGAAGTTTGGATGACTCTTCCCCTTTCACTCTTTGGGAGATGTCATCTTTACAAAATAGTTTCTTTTGCAAGATTGCTCTATCCTTTGCAAATACTCCCTCTTCTGTTAAAACATTCTGATGTTCAGAAGATTCATAGGTCTCTACATACCTTTCTGTGGCAGCATAAAAAAATGTGTATTGCATTACAAAAGATTGGTCTCCCAAAGATTGAGGGGGTGGAGACCTGCCGAATGCTAGATTTTACAACCTGTCCTGTCTTCTTTTTCAGAGTTTTGATTGGATTACTGTGAAATCGCGTTATTCGAACTACTCCATAGAGGAGGACCTGGTGTCTCCGCTACACCTTCTAGCTATTCTTCATTCTAACCTCAAGGCCTTACCTCGATCTCTATGATTGAATCTCCTGATCAAAGACGCAGTATTGGCCTGGAGGGAAATACAGAAACTACTTTGCCTACCGCTAAGGATATCCTCCTACCTGCCTATTCTTGGAAACCCTATGTTCCCTCCAGAGAGTGAGCATGCAGCATTTACCCACTAGTCTCATAGCAGACTTACTAAAGTCATATCCAGCTTTAATGATTCCAAATGTACCTTACAGCCCTTTTCAGTACTAGCTGCCAAATTCTCCTTACCTGGTTCTCATATCTTTTACTACCATCAGCTGGTGACCTTCCTGCGGACATGCTATTCTCCAAAACAACATCCTTTCCGGCGCTCCTTTATAGAAATTCTACGGCATCAGGACAACTATTCCATCTCGGCAATCTACTCTTATGTAATCTCACACCAGTCTGCAAAATACTATCTTACTCCTTTTAAGCCATGGACTCCCATACTGTCTATTGATGAAACTCTGGATAAAATCCTGTCATGATACTGGAAAATCTCTTCACTTGTCCTCTGCGAAACATGGCGGGAAACTCAATTCAAAATCATTCAGAGAGCTTACTATCCTTTCTCAGCGAATCCAGCTGTCACTCCCCGCCCTACATGTCCTTGGTGTGACCACACTTGACCTACTTTATTTCATCACCTTTGGGAATGTGCCCGAATTTCCACCTTCTGGGATCAAATTCTTCGTTACATTAATCTTTTGTAAAACATCTCTCTCACCAAAGACCCTATGCTCTGTCTCTTCAATTATCAAGATCCTTCGATGTTGGCGAGTACTAATTGTCTTCCCCAGTGGATCCATATTTGTTTAAAGGTAGCTCGCAGAGCACTCATGCAAGCTTGGATACAGCCAAACACCACCAGCTCAAGATGGTAATACAGGCATTAACTGCCCTATTTAATCTGGAGAAGCTGGACATCATCACTCAGAATTTTAAGTCTACGCAGCGCTTCATGGAATACTCCTTTACTCCTGGGGAACTAGCCATTTATATGGAACTTTTTCAATATTCAATGACCAGGTCCACCAAACGTTCTGGCTCAAGCAAATCAGTTTTTATGCCTTTTATAAGCAGAGTCCTGTGGGCTTAGTTGCCCATTGGCTTGGTATAGCACCTGAAGACTCCAGCAGTAAGATTTCTCTCCCATAGTTCCAAACTCTGTTTATATCTTATGCAGGGGTGGACTGACAAATCATGGGGCCCCCAGGCAATAGGGGATTATGGGGCCCCTGTGTCCTCGCCCACACCCAAAAAAGCCTATGAAAAAGCCAATGAAAGGTACCAGGGGCATCTCATGGGGCCCCCTACTGACCCCAGGCCCTCAGGCAGTGCCCGAGTGCTCGAATGGTCAGTCCGCCCCCTCTCAAGAACAGGAAACCTTTTTAATGGTGGCACCTGTTTAATTGTTGAGGTGTTAGGTTTGCAGACTAGAGATTTAATTTTATTTATTATTGTAGATGATAACATTCAAAGTTCAGTAACCCATGGCAAACTATTACAATATTCAGTTTATTTCACTGATGTGACTACAATAAACTGAAACGGTTTGGCTTTTAAGAGTAACTTGATTAACAATGATCTTTGCATTGCTTTGTTAAAGAATTCTGTAATTTTTTATATTGTCAGAGCAAGTTTAAAACAAACCAACATTGGAGAAAGATAATTTTTACTAGGTGGTACATTTTTTTCTGATACTCCAATCTAACACTGAAAGTGCGATCTTTATACCTGATAAAGTTGTAGCAAGATACCGATAATTTTCAGTCTTGGGAGAATTGACAGACAATGACTCAATCCAAATGACATCTTGTGTAGAAAGCTTTAATAGAAAACTTGTGCAGATCTTCACAGATGAACATCAGATGGATAAAAAAATATCATATGTTCAGCTCCAGCAGAACATGTGTTAAATGGAGGCTAAAGCATAAAGAAGGGTGGGATTAATTTTATTCCTTA